TTATAATGACACAGAATTAGATGGAGCATACTAGAGATGAATTTGCTGAGTGTATTTGATAAGCAAATTTCGGTGGCGTTAATATGAAAAAGGTTTACGAGGTGAAGATTGTCTAAACCTCCACACTGATTTTATTTGAATCCAGAATGTGGCTTTCGTCCGATTTTGGACTCATCATCCGGGTGTATTAACTTTCCCACTAAAGTGACGGGTGATGTTCCTACCAAGATTCGAACCCTGCGCCCCACTGTTTCAAGTATATTTAATTCATTTTTAACTTTTTCAGTTTTCGAACTTCTATATCAAGATATGAAAAATTCCCATTTAATGTAATTAAGAACACATAAATCAGCAGAGGGACCTCGTTGCGTAACTCCTTTTCAAATCTCTACTGTTTATTTGCATGATAAAGGTTAGAGGTTACTGTTAGTTAATGACAAAGTAAATCAAAGTGTATGAGAAATAACATCGTAAGGAAAATAGTGAATAGTTTTACGTAATGTAGAGGATTAACAACTAAGTAGTTAAGTGATGAGTAACCAGCAGAGAACAAAGGATTGAACATGAATTACAAGAAAATAGAAAGACTACATGAAGTTTATTATACAATGAATCCGGATTTTCCTCTGTGAATTGCTGAATCTTCAGTTGCATGAAGAAGAGTTAAACGAATTCCTAAGGAACTACTTGATTTTGTTTCATATATTATTCTAAATGAAGTCATTGCTGATCAGAGACAACAATGTACTCTAGAAATGAGCTGCTGACTGTTCTGCGTTCTCATTTTGACACCCATGCTGGAAGGTACTCATGAGCGCATCTAGACAATGTCTTACTGATACAGTCTATGTACATTGACTCATCAGATTATATAAAACAGAGGTTATTCACACAGTACTTACCATTGCTTACAAGAACCCTTTTCTTCATCAAGTCAACCATAATATTTTTCACTAAAAGACAATAAATAATTTCTATAAATTACTGGTTAACGTACAACTAACAATTGTCTCCGTCAACTAGTTTCAGAAATATTCATAACTACACTTTTGTTATGCTTACATATAAGCTATATAGTCTTAAAATGTATTATCACTATTCATAGACGAACGGTTTATTTCTACACAAATTCAAGCGCGGAGTGATACCTGCACTGTCGTATCTAGATTTCTTTAGTATTTCATCTGACATCATTCCATAAAAAAATAAGGTTCTATAAACCTTAAGCACTCACTTTTATCTTCATGTGAATGAATACCTTCAAAGAAACCTATTTTCTGTTTCTTAACACCTTCTCACGTAGTGATTTACAGGTTAGTAGTAGGGATAGGCGGCCTGCTGAAATACTGGGCTACCGAAATTGCTTCCCATCAAAATGCTTAATTTCATCTGGATTTATCATTGTTTTAATCGTCTAGTTATATCAAATAACGTATACATAAACTTCCGCACTGACTTAACTCACTTCCAAGTAAACGCTGTGCAACTCTCCAACGAAACCAAGATATACTTCAGATTATTACTTTACATTGTAAATCCTATATGAAGGAAAAAGTATTTTGGAAATAAATACGTTAAAATTTTGTGTACCATATGTTCGCATATTGTCTGAAATAAAGCTTTATTATTATGTCATCAGTCCACTGGATTGCAAATTGTAGACTCAGATATTGTGCCATAGTTACCTCAAGTGCATCTTGAAGGGATACATATATATTTTAAAGGTTAAACTCCTCATTTCAGAATGTTGCACATTATGCATAACTCTCTCTCTCTCTGGCTAAAAGGAAGTGTATAATTCTTATGAAAAAACACTTCTTCGACTGACAATAGGATAGACTGCTATGTTATTTAGAACTTCTTCGACCATATAATGCCTCGTATAACATGAAAATGATGAGTATGAAATTTAGGAATGAATACGTAACTGATTGTGACATATTTTTGTCAAAACTTTCGAGATTAGTGACAAAAGCCAAATATTCTTTATTGTCAGATATGTATTTGATTGGTTGGAGGACTTCATCATGAGCTGACATAGAATAGAGAACCACTCGAAAACCAACATGGAGTACTGGACAGCCAGATGTTTCGTCAGTCTAGTTCGGGACTCTTCACGGTACACACCCATTCTATTCAGGCAGTTAATTTGGGGTTCTAGTGGGAAGCCGTGACCAGTAGGGTACAGAAGGTACTGGGTTCGAACCCACGTGGTGTGTGCTTACTGCTAGAGAGTCCCAAACTAGGCTGACGAAACAGCTAGCTATCCAGTACTCCTTGCAGGTTTTCCAGTGGTTCTCTAACTGATGTCAACTCATGGTGAAATCCTACAACCAGTCAAACGAAATTTCTACAAAAACCAATACCTGAAAATATTTATTTGAAAATTTAAATAAAGGGATTGTTCTTTCTAACTAAATAAACCCCGTGATTTCTGTGTCATCACTTTCCATTGGTGTTTTCTTTATTTCAATAAATTTCATCACCAATATACATTTGTAGGGACAAATTCCAATAAGATATAGACAAGTGAATTAGGTCAAATAATGCATAAATAAAACCAAAACTGGAATGATAAATGTTCTATGGAAGAAAACTCACACGACATTGACACTCAGCTTATATATATATATATATATACTTTTTTAAAGCAAAGTTCTTCTGAGATGTTTATACAAACCAGTATGAACTTTATTTTCTATAACTCATAATGATTTTTTTTAATTCTGAGAAATTCAGAGAAAATAAGTGTGAGAGGCATAAATCTGATACGGAAAGTTTTGAAACTGCTTTGATAGTACAAATTGACACAATGAACCTCCGTAAACAGAATGTATCTACTGAACAATTTGGCAAAAACAAATTTGAACAGTAGGGTAGTTTAGCTATAAAAAAGAAATTATTAGCATGTATTTGTAAACGGTGTCGAAGTCTACTTCAGAAACAATATAGCTGTCAGTGTTGGATTCATGGGACTCTTCATTATTATTATTATATTTTAATCCGTTGCCTTCTAAATGTAACACTGAGCTTCAAGCTGAAGCTTTGAAGCTTCAGTAGCAGTGTTGCTTTGTTTACGGAGTGGAACTGCTAGCCCCAAGCTCAACCTTACCTCTTCACCTGTCTTACTACTGGTACTACTGTGGTGAGAGCTGGTTGCGAAGAAGCCAAAATTGTAGACAGCAATCTACGTCACTGTTACATCCTGAATCAAGGTCATGAGAGAAAACAATAACAAAGCTTAACCTTGAGGAACTCACCAACTAATCACAGCAGACTTAACGTGTGCAGACACGATTCGCAGATATATGGCTTAACTTCCTGAGAAATGGTCACAAGAAGATGACAGAGTAACCTTTAACAAGAAAACAACCAATCAGAAGACGTTGCTTCTCTGCTAACAATAACGCTAATAATAGTGTACATAAAAATGTATAAATATCTATTGATTTTCTCAATAAACGATCTGTTGCCTGACCCTTGTCTTCTGTCGTTACACTACTACTACTACTACTACCGGGTAAGGGATGTATCGGCCAAGAATCGGATGACTTGTAGGGTTGGCGGCTGTCCCACGACTGAACCAACGATATCTGATAAACTAAAGAATTCAATTATACATAAGACATTCCTCATCACTACCATCATTATCATATATAGAAGTCATTCAGAGAACCATAGGAAAGCTAATAAAGTCCTTTGATCGTGGATCCAGTCATATCAGACTGTTTCCATTTGTCTCTTATGAATTATTTTGAAAGTAATAGTATGTTTTCACAATAAATTTATCTGTTCCATAGAAGAAAAATTAAATTCATATCAGTGATTGTCCATAACTAATAAATTTCACCACCACCATTGCAGTTTTGTAAAACAAATAATTCTGTTCACTTGGAAATGGAGGTACTCTACTCACTAACTTGATTTTATAATTTAAGCAACAACATGGAAGTATAGAAACGCCAAAAATATTGGAGAACCACTATAAGTGCCCATTTCCTGCTAGGACTAAAATCTAATTATTCACGCTTCTCTTCAGATATTCACTGTCTTTCCAGTGTGCCGAAATGACCTCTTCAGTGGCTGCCTCATTCTTATTTTGAATATTACCATGTACGTGGAATTTTCTGAATAATAATTAGATTGTGAAAATATCATTTGTCAGGCAAAATATTTCTGCATATTTCTGTCAGGTGGAACAGTAAATTATGGCAAATCTACCCTGTGTGTGTGTGTGGTTTTTTCTCAATAGTACCAACAGATCACTTCTTTATGACTCTTGAGTTATTGATACGCCTGATAAGTTAATAATATATTATTTTCATGTCAGCAGCAGTATTATTAAGTGATTTTTATAATTTTGACCAGTTATCAGCATGGCAAAATGCAACCAAATGGAAAATTATACTCCATTAAGCCACTGGGACTTGATCCAATGGCCAGTCCATGAATTCTAACTTCTGCCAATTCATGACATAGCACGACCACTTCGCAATGTCTTCTTCGATGATTTACCGCCTCACCTTCAACCTGTTGTACCCTACTGGTCATGGCTTCTCGCAAGAACCCCAGGTAACTGCCTGAATAGAGTAGGTGCGTACTGCTAGAGAGTCCCAAACTAGGCTGACAAAACAGCTGGCTGTCCAGTACTCCCTGTTGGTTTTCCAATGGTTCTCTAATTGATGTCAGCTCATGATGAAATCCTCCAACCAATCAAATAAATATCTGACATTAAAGAAAATTTCGCCTTTGTTACTAATCTCAAGAGCTTTAATAAAATTGTGTCACAATCAGTTACGTATTCATTCCTAAATTTCATACTCATCATAGTCATGTTATGAGGCGTTTTATGGCCGAAGAAGTTCTAAATAACACAGCAGTCTGTTTGTGAAGGATAATATATATATATATGTATATTATATACATATATCCTAGTGTCAGTCGAAGACGTGTTTTTTCAGAAGAATTATACACTTCCTTTTAGCCAGAGAGAGAGAGTTATGCATAATGTGCAACATTCTGAAATGAGAAGTTTAACCTTTAAAATATATATGTATCCCTTCAAGATGCACTTGAGGTAATAATGGCACAATACCTAAGTCTGCAATTTGCACCCTAGTGGACTGATGATATGAACCACTAACCTGTAAATCACTACCTGAGAAGGTGTTAAGAAACAGAGAACAAGTCTTCATTATGGATAAGATTTTATTTTGATAAATCACACAGTGTTGTACAGTAATATTAACTGATAACGTTTCGGGCAGAAATTATTGCTCATAATCATATCAAGTCACTGTCTATAAAGCTTCACATTTGTCTCTTTTCTAATTTAAGTAGTTAGGTAATTTACCATCCACTCAACTCCAACTGTCCAATAGACTAATAACACAATTATTCCAAAAATGGTTCAAGTAAACTCTCAAAGAAAGGGTTTGCATTTTAAGTTCCATGTTCTCATGTTCTTCATCAAGTTGTTTTATGCAATCTAGTCCTATATATATTGTTTTCATCACGCCGATGAACATATGGATCCAAACAAAATCCTCGCAGTATTTAATAACACTCATCGATCAATTAGTTTTAATCTAGAAGTTGAGTCAGAAGCAAAGCTTTCGGGGAGAAATAATGGGTCAGTCAAGAGATAGAAATAGAAACGTCAGCTAAGTAACTTCTACAGCTTTGTCTCATTAAGTAGAAAAAGAAACGTTATCAAATCCCTTCTCATGACAAGAACCACTCATATATGCACCGAAAAGACACGCTAAATAGAGAACTGGAGTCTTTCGGCAACACTGTCACTCAGAATGGTTACCCATAGCATTCATCAATAAACAAGTTACAAAGGAAAAGTTGGTCGTACACCTGCAGTTCAAAGGTAACACAATCTGAAGTTCTTCGAGGCAGATTAAAGAGAGAGATTCCAAAAAACAGTCTTCGCCACATCTTTACGTCTCACCTTCTCTACGTAATCTCTTATTCATCAACATTTTAAAGACAATGTCCTACTTTTGACAACATCTGTGTGCATATATCAGTTCACTTGTTCCTGTGGAGCTAACTATACAGGCCGTGCCAATAGTTTCTTTTTTGGTACAAGTAGGGTTTCGTTTGTCTAAACTTTTGGTTTGATATTTTTGTCAATGAACCTTGATTATAACCCATCCATTAAATTAATCATGTCATTACGCAACGTCTATTCAACTCTTTTTATGCACTAATTAATATTACCAACTATGATTATGACAATGTAAAGAAGAAAAGATCGATGAGGCTCGAAGACCATGTTTATTAGAACAAACGCATTTTAGGTACATAAATTTGGTATGCTATATCTTTAAGTCTTTATTCGCTCATCATTTGCAAATAATAGTGTTCTCTGAGCTGGTTGGTTTGGTTGCGGAGCTTTCGCCATCCTTCTGGACAACATCTTCAGTGCAATATTTAGCATAAAGTGGAATAATTTAAATTTCTTCATGAGTGATATAATTGTGTCTCCTGGTAACCACCTTTACATATGTACTGACCATTTTCTATTGACTTGGATTTCAAACTTTCTGCAACCAAACCAACCAGCTCAGAGAACGCTATCATTTGCAAATCATCCACCTGAGCTACAAATCTCTATTATTTTGTTCATCATTTACAAATTGGCCAAATATCACCACATCCGATGGCTTGTTAGATGCTGCACATTGTTTTTCTAACGTTCTTCTCACAGTTCTCTTCTTCGATTTCTTTTTCCAGTGCCCCAAAACATATTGTTACTTTTCTGAATCCGTTTGCTCATATACTACTTATATGCGATTATAAGTAGTACTAAGCACAACAACTCATCACTTTTGCTACTACACTCCGTCGTGAAAAACATATTATATAAATGTAATTATGCAGCTGAAGAAAATAAATCCGCCGAAATCGACCTCTTCACTGAACTACTTGCATTATTCTTTGTATCAAAGTCTATTTCACTTTGAATCAGTGTTATTTCTTTGCATTTAAGATATGACTTATTCTTGAATTTGAATTGGCTTCTGTTAAGCGAATATACCAGGTATTCTGCGCATTAGTAATCGGAGCTGTGTTCAAGAATCTTTCTTTTGTATTTATTCGATATATGAAGTTCAACTCGAATAAAGGTAAATAACGTGTCGAAAGGGCTTATCTACTGACTGGGTGTCTTTGTCTACTGGCTTGTTTGAATGATCACAGCCCTCATACGTACTCGTGCCTAACAAATGGTTCCTTAATGTTTTGCTTTCAATCTTCGGTGGTATAGCAGTTAGGATGCTCGCCTACCATGCAAATGGCCCGGGCTTCGATTCCTGGCCGACGCACTCCTTTATCTCGTTGAACCAGAAATAATGCTGGTGAAGAGGAAAGGTTGGGCATGAGGCTAGCAACCCCATCCTGTAAAATAAACGCTGCTACAGAAACTTCAAGCCTCTAGCTTGAAGCCATATGTTCCACCGGGGAACGTGAAGGAAAAGAAAGAAAAATATTTCCAGTTGGTCAGAATTAAAAATGTTTTGAATTTCTTGCTTTTTTCTGTTTAGATTCCATATGTTCAGAAAGTCAAATGAAATTAAATCCTTTGATCACAATAAGTCATGAATCCATGACAGGAGTTAAACCGGACTCATCTACAACATCATCATCGTTAACACCGTCTCATTGGCAGAATAAATATGAATGCAAATCCGTAAATTATCATCGTTTAATGGGCAGGAATTCTCAATCTTCACCAGTCTGTTTGAATCAATCAATCAGTAATAATACTGACAATGTTAGTGACAATAAAATTAACGATAATATTAATGAAATCAGTAAGGATGGTGCAAATGAAAATTCCAATGTCAACAAGTTACATCCATGCAACAATTCAACTGAATTGGACGTCATGGTTCAAAATCAAATTCTTGATCTGCCATACTCAGAAAATCTGGTAAGTGAACTTTAGATTATTCAATCTTTTTGCTTTCACGGTAGAGATAAAGAGCACAGAAGAAATAATACCTATTTATTATTATTATTGTTCCCTTGGGTTCCTAGTGGAACAAAGGGCTTCAACTACACGTCTCCACTTGCTTCTGTCTTCTGCTGTACTTTTCAACTGCATCCATGTTAATCCATACTGTTTCAACTCCTCTTCACACGATCTCCTCCATGTCGTCCTTGGATGTCCCACTACTCGCCGCTTCCCTTTCGGGTTCCACTCGAGCGATGGCCTGAAGCGCGATGTCACCCAGTGGCCTCCTCAGCGAGTGTCCAATTCATCTCCACTTCTTTCTCCTGCATATTTGTTGAGCGATTGGTTCTTGTTTTGTTCGTTCCCATAGTTTCTTGCTGGTGATTCTTTCCGGCCATCTGATCTTCAGTATAGAGCCAGCGAAGACAGTTGTTGATAAAGGTCTGCAACAGGCTGTTGGAAATATTCTTTGTGACCCGCCAAGTTTCTGATCCGTTTAGCAAAACTGACTTGACGTTTGTATTGAAATAATACCTAGGCTAGAACAAAATAGAAATAGTACAGAAGTGCTCATTTTAAAATAGAAGTGAAAGACTGAAATTTTGTTATCAACTGTAAGTGTTAAACTGATGGAATATGCTTAAAGCTCAGTTCATACATTCACAAACAGTATTAATTTGACGGGTACACTGAAAGCTATTTGCTTTTAAAGTATGCCTTCCCCTTTTAAAGTCTAAGAAAAGCTGAATATTTGTTTTGTTCGGGACTCAAACTCTTAGCAATTTGGTAGCACAGATAAACAGGAACACCATTCCAAGGATGGGCATGTCACTTTTCAAGGTTCATTACATTACATTTTCCAGTTTCTACCAAGTCGAAATACATAGTGATTGTCGCCTAGTTTCATACGTGACTAACTCCCTTGCCCCAACACACACACACATTAGATAGACCGACCACAGATTTTAACTGAAGTTTCATGAAATTCATCTGCAAACAAATCAACACTGCCAGTACTGAATTGTTATTAGGTTCAAACATTTTCGAAAGCACTTAATTAGTGGTAAAAATGTATGACAGTGAAACCATATCGTAAATATTCGGAAAACTCTAGTCATTAGATTATGATACAGGGATATACTTGAGATATGTTCCTTGTGTGATTAATAGAGGACCTAATGTGGTGTAAGGTCTAGTGAGTACACTAGTGAAGACTGTATACCCAGGGCAAATTAGATGTGCATTGCATCTTGGCTTTTGTATACTGCTAATTGGCTTGTGTATATATTTATAGAAATACGAATTATCACAAAACTTCCCATTCCATTCCACTTAGTGTATGCGATCACGATTCACTAATGTTCAGGAATGAGCAATAACAATAATGCATTTTCAATTATGTTTTGAACTGATAATGTGAGAGTTGATAAATTTCTGGATTTCAGCTAATTTTGGGCAAATTACATTGATTTCCAAGTATTGGTTTTTCAGGAATTGTGTTTGATTGGACGAAGAGTTTCATCATGAGCTGACATCAGTTAGAGAACCATTGGAAAACCAACAGGGAGTACTGGACACCCAGCCGTTTCGTCAGCCTAGTCTGAGACTCTCTAGCAGTACGCACCCACCGCTAGGGTTCGTACCCAGGACTCTCTGGTTACAAGGAAAACTAGCTCGTAGACCACTAAGCCACTGGGACACGATCTAATGGCCAGTCCATGAATTCCAACTCCTGCCAATTCATCACAGCGCGACCACTACGCGATGTCTTCTTCGATGGGTTACTGCCTCATCTTCAACCTGCTGTACCCTACTGATCATGGCTTCCCACTAGAACCCCAGTAGAGTACAGAAGGTTGAAGATTGCGAAATGGTCGCGTTATGTCATGAATTGGCAGAAGTTAGAATTCATGGGCTAGCTAGTGGATAGGGTCTCAGTGGCTTAATGGTCTACTAGTTAGCTCGCCTTGTAACCAGAAGGTCCTGTGTTCGAACCCTGGCGGTGTGTGCATACTGCTAGAGAGTCCCTAACTAGGCTGACAAAGCAACTGGCTGTCCAGTACTCCCAGGTTTTCCAATTGTTCTTTAACTGATGTCAGCTCATAATGAAATCCTCCATCCAATCAAATTACATTGTCGATTCATCCATTAAGCTCATTAACTCTCAGAGGACAATAATAAAGATATTTGACACAACAGTTCATGACAGTTTAGTAACGATGCACTCAAGCAATTCAGTTTGACTGTTTATATATATAATGACAATAATTCGAAATTTAAATCAAAAGTTTCTAAAAAATGACTTTGTTTTGACATACTGTTTTTCAACTAAATGAATTAATTCATACATTTGTTGCAAAACAGACTACTTCCCTATAGTAAGATAAGGTGTAAGTAGAATGATAATATGAATAGGTTTATTTCGAAAAATGTGTTTATACACAATACGGAATTTTCAGCAAGTTTGGAAGGTATGTACTGCCTGTCAAGAATCTTCAAGTAATATCATAAACGATAACCTATCAACTGAAGCGATATTGTTTTGTCACAGGCATGCTCCAATAATCCACAGTGTTTCTCCTCCATTTCCGTCAGACACTTCGTGGCAGTAGATCGAAACCTATTTGAAAATGTGCCCGAGTATACATTGCAATTCTCAGATGCAACTGTATGATTAAAACAATTTGAAATGCAATCAAACAATGCATTTAGGTGGATAGAAAATTTAGGTAACCCAGTGATTTAAACTGGCCTCCACCGCTACTGGTCATGTTTCACAGCCTACACACACGTACACATACTACATATATTGTATTACAAAAAATTCTGTTACAACATAACGAGACAGTGCGTTTGAGTATTTCATACTCACAAATATATATGTAACGTATGGTGTCACCTTCTGAAGGACAGGAAATGGACAAAATTCCTTTTAACCTCAATTTCATAGATACCATTGTGGGTGTACTTTGTCAACGGGCAGGGTTAAACTATCACAGCTACTCCAGTCGACTTTACTAAAGACTTTGAGCAAGTTAGTCAGAATCGAGGATCGATAAAAATCGCGAAGTTGTTAAAAAAGGGGACTATAGGTCATAGTGTTCTGAGATCTCTTCTGATTCTGTTCTTTAATCTATCGCGAAATCCCAATCCTTTTAAAAGACCAGCTGTCTTGTTAAGCTTCCCCAGCGTATCCATGTTTTAGTAACTCACAGTAATCAAAAACTCGATTTTCGTGGAACTCATTAGACAAATGCAGCACTGGGTGATGCGGGTTAGAATCTCAGAAGGGACAGATACGCCTTGCTGATGAGTGCCAGCTAGCACGAAAGCTAGGTTGTGCGTCGGCGGCACGGCGGTAGAATGCTCACCAACCACATATGGTTCGGGTTTCGATCCCCGGCCGACGCACTCCTTTACCTCGCTAAACCAGTAATAAAACTGGTAAAGAGGAAAGGTTGGGCATGAGGCTAGCAACCCCATCCCGTAAAAATAAATACCACTGCTACTGAAACTTCAAGCCTGTAGCTTGAAGTCCTATGTTTCACTGGGAACGTAAAGGAATAAAATATATAAATAATAATACATTAGACAAATCCAGAACAGAAGGTATAATTTGATTTGGTTATAACATCTGTAACCCTAAATGATTGTCAAAGGTCACATACTTCAGTGGCTGTTATGGTTTAACTTCGTCTGTCAAAGCTTGTCAAATCATCTTAGAAGAATATCTCTATGGTGAAAGTTCACAAATCATCTTATCCAGCTAACAGCTGCTTTAAATATATAAGTAACAAATGCTTGTTGACAAGATCACACTGGTCATAATGTTCATTTATTTGCTAAACGTCCTTATTACAACATGAGTAAAAAAGAGTATTGTCAGTTACATCATTAACACATCTGATAACTCTAGTCAAATGGCTCAGCTTAGTAGATTTATGTCTGAAACTTACCTACCACACAAATGTATCACTTTTTTTTCTCATTCCCTTCTAAAAATGAGATGGTACCACTTTTTTTAAATTGCTTTTTAAAGCCAACAAAACCGTTATTTTCCATTTGTACGCTTAAAATTAATTTGTTTTGATTAATATTTTTACAATCATTGTCAACGTCATGATTAATAGTAGCTAAGATTAATGTACTAACGAAAGTCTGAATAAAAAAATACCGCTAAAATTATTAAAGAGCAGACACGATATTGGAATTAATTTAGGCGGATAACATTCAATGTTTCAAGTTAATCAAATGTGATAACAGTTAAATTAGTACAGTAAAACTAATTAATTTTTACGGTGTTTGTGGACTATAAATATAAGCTTAGTTAGTTGACAAAGTTTTTAGTCAGTGAACAATTATCTAATAAGAGTTGGTAATCATTTTACCGAGTATATTCAAGAATTATTTAAAACACATTCTGTATTTTACTGAGTTATTAAAATACGCGACACAGAACAGACTTAGTTAATATGTTAAATCACCGATAGTTTCATCGATAGTTTCCATTTGTACCAAAGATACATGGATGATACTTTCATCCTTTGAGACGAAATACCAACATCGAAATGATAACTAAAGAGTTCAACAGCTGCCATCATGCCATCCAATTCACGTCGGAATGAGAGATGAACTCGGAATTCCATTTTTGGGGGGATATTTTTCTAAAAAAGGAGATCTGATGGTTCTCTTCAAAGATCGATCTACAGGAAACCAACATGGAACGGTCAGTACACGAATTTTCACAGTTGGGTCCCTTTGAGAAGAAAGAGAAACCTGATCCACTCCTTATACTCACGAATAAGAAGGATATGTTCCAGTGATTTAATCGACGGGGAACTGGAGTGAGTCAGACAAGTCCTCATAGAGAATGGATACCCTTCAAGATTCATCGAGAAAAACATGAAGTTAAATCAAAAGCCTGAAAGAACTCAGATGGTGCCGAAGAGACTGCTATTTATGAGTGTTGAATTTAA